TGAGCATGGACTCTGGTGACACTGTGGGATCCAGCAGAGAGCAATAACTGGGGTCACATCTGGTGACAAATGTAGGCAGAGGGTGCTTCAGAGGAACTATATGTAAGTGTCATCACACTCTTGACACATGGATGCTTTCCAATAAAGTAACCATTTTACCAAAACTGCTAAATGGACACTTCTCAGAAGAAGAAATACAAATGGCCAACAAATATATGAAAAAACTGTTCAACATCCCTAGCAATCAGGGAAATGCAAATCAAAACGACATTGAGATTTCATCTCACTCCATCAGAATAACAATCATCAAGAACACAAATAATGAGTGCCATGGAGGATAGGGGGAAAGGGTACACTCAAACATCGTGGGTAGAACTGCAAATTAGCACAGCCACTCTGGAAAGTCCTATGGAGATTCCTCAAAAGACTAATGGAACCCCAAGGTGACCCAGCAATCCCACTCCTTGGTATTTACCCATCTCTAAAGTCAGTATACTAGAGCGACATTGCTGCATCAGTGTGGATAACAGCATCACTCACAAGAGCCATGTATTGGAAGTAGCCCAGGAACACATCAACAGGCGAATGGATTAAGAAAATATGGCATTATAGACACAGAGGAGAATTAGTAAGTCATGACAAAGAATGAAATTGTGGACTTTGCTGGTAAATGGATGTAACTGGAGATTGTCCTGCTAAGTGGAATAAGCCAGAATCAGAAAGTTAAAGGTTAAATGTCTTGCTCATATGCAGAAGATAGAGCAAAGTAAGGGGGGACTCTGAGGTGGGGGCTTTGATATCATAAAGATAGAGGGAAGATGAGTGGAGAAGAAGAAATAGACTGAGGGGGTAGGGAGGGGTGGAAGGGCAAGCAAGTGCAGAATGAAATGCATAAAATTATGCCATGAGCATGTATAAATACACCACAGTGGGTTCACCTTCATGCATATTGATAACGCATGAAAACATAAATAAATACTAGTAGGTAGAGGAGGAAAAGTGGGGACGGAGGGCATAGTCACTGGGCGCAGAATGGGAGGGAGTTAAATTCCATGTCTGTATGGTTATGTTAAAATGAACACCACTGCAATGTTGAACCCCAGTGCACTAATAAGAGCTTAAGAAAGTTAAGCATTTTACACTGTCGGGTGGGTGGATTCAGGACTGCCTCATTCGTTCCATAGGCTTGGTGGGATGATGTAACGGGTCACAGGTATTAAATGTTCAGAATTCTACAGAGACATGTCAGCCCTCCATTACTGTTGGACATTCACAGTGTCACAGGGTCACTGTTAATGTGACATATTTCTCTAAAATTATCTGACAATACGAAGAATAAAACAAAACTCGTGAAACGGTTTTCCCTTTTAAAAAAGGTAGCTCTTGTGGCTGGGCTTGTGACGCCGTGCTAGAGCACTTGTCTAATATGTGTAAGGCCTGGGTTGAATCCTGAGCACCACACAAAATAAATACATAAATAAAAGGTTTAAATATAAATCATTAAATTAAAAAAAGGTCCTTTTCTTCATGTGCATATTATTCTGTCAGAGAACAGGTACCCCTCTGCAATTTTGCCTAATTGGATCCACTTTTCCTTCAGCCAGAATACTACTCATGCCCAGTTGTTGGTCATTCTCCCCAAGATACACTCAGCAGTCTGTGGCCACCTGAGATTTAGGGTCAGTATCAACAGCTCCTGGTGTCATACACAAGTGCTCAGTCTATTGATACACCCAAGAATTAAGAGGGAAAGTGGCAATGTTTTTGCTCCTGGTTATCATACATTCTACATGAAACACTGTTGCGTCCAATGTGGGGCTTACATTCATTAGACGGTTTTCATTTTAGCTGACAGAAGACCATGGGGACTGACAAAGATGTAGGTGCATCCTGAAGCATTCCTGGAATCAGTAGGTGGCTATTTATGGGCCCCCTGGGTGGGAATGTTGCTTGAACATGTGGAGCTGTTGGTCCCCGAGTCCCATGACACTCAGAGTGCTCGACAAGGATGAAACAGAGCTTCGATGGATCCTTGATGTGGTAGATATGAAAACTCTCTCATCTCAGCCCCTAAATCCTGACAGCATGCAGCCCACTCCCACATGTTGATCAGAAGGTAATGGAGGACTGGACCCTGGAGTCAGTGACAGTCCACCTCATATCTGCTGCCTCTGAAGCAGGTTCCTGCCCTTTAGCCTGAGAGTCTTCAGTCCACTGTCCCTCTGTCTGCTTCCAGGCTACACTGTATCAATTACACTGTATCCGTGGGTTGCATGTAAAAATTCTACTTTGAAAACTCTTCAAATGCAAATAAATGAGAAAGAGTGGCTTTCTCAGGTCTCAGGGATTCATCAGTGGGATTATTTTGCAGCACTTGCCATGGCGTCCTGTCATGAGATCATGTTGAGGTCACGAGGCTCATGTTCTCTGTATGAGTCCAAAATTGATAGATACAGTGAAACTTTAAACCACCAGTCACAATTTGTTTTTATAACAGTTAATTTGACCAAAAAAAAATTAATGATTCTTTTGAACCATTACTTTTTTTTTATTTATTTTTTTTACTTTTGTTAAAGTAAGACTAGGTTTAAAGTCCAATCTCACTATCTCCCACAAGGTCCAATGCTGTGAACCTCAGCACCGGGCACAGAGAAATCATCATCATGACAGATGGCTACCTGTGGTTTGAAGGGTTGCCTTTCCCCCGTGTTGGTTGGAGCTGTGATGGCCTAAAAGAAGCATGTACTAAATTTGTGATAAAGGACGAAGACACAGTAATGGTGTCATACCCTAAGTCAGGTAAGGAAACTAGAAAGGAACTGTCCAGGAGAACGGTGAGGGCTGTGTTCCTCCCCTGCTCAGCAGATGGAGTTCATGACCTCTACAGCCAGTGAGCCCTGCTTGGGGGAGGAAGGGGCAGTGCCCCAGGCCACTTCCACTCAGACTAGGACACAGGGACATAAGTGCTCAGCAGGGGTCAGCTAAGCTACTGCAGGAAGATACAGGAGTGAATCCTAATGTCACCCAGGCATCTGTGTGGTGGCCTGGGAGGGGGGTGGCAGAGAATGACCAGTGGGCACTTAAGGGTGAAACACCAGCTCCATAGAAATGAAAGAGGGAGTGGGAGGCCATGGGGTGAGGAGGGGGATTTTAGAGCAGGAGGGTCAGCATGGACAAGGGCTGGGAATCAGACAGGAGCCTGAGAAATTCAAGGGACTGAAAGGACATGCATCATAAATCTATGTGGTGGGCCTGGGGGCAGGGGCATTGCAAACAGGGTGAGGATTGAGGCCAGTGTCCTTGGAAGGGGCACTGTGCTGGGAAGTCAAGGGAAAGGGGAACATATAAAACTGACCTCAGCAAACAGCCAAGAGGTGGAGCAACCTAAAATCCTTTCATAGATGAATGCATAACAAAATGTGGCTTGTTGATACAATGGGATACAATTCACCCTTCACAAGGAAGAATTATCTGATACATTCTACAACATGAAGCAATCTTGAATGAATCATGCTAAATGCAACATTTTGGGCACAAAGGGACAAATACTATAGAATTCCACTCTGGTAAAATACCTAGTGTTCATAAAAAATGCATCATGGGTTCCAGAGACCAAATATGGAGTAACAAGGAAAATGTTGTTAATAAACTGAGAGTTTGAGTTTTTCAAGGATAAAAGTATCTGGACATTGTAAGAGCAAAATTAGGAATGTGCTTAACACTGCTTAGCAGTACCTGACTGCATGCTTAAAATGGGTAAAGTTTATATTATGGTAAAGTTTATATTATGCATTTTACCATAAATTTTTTGTTCGCAAGTCATGTTGAAATGAGTGACCATCATTTTCACTTTCTTATCTAGGAACCCACTGGTTGATTGAAATTCTCTGCCTGATTCACTCCAAAGGCGATACCACGTGGATTCGATCTGTGTCCATCTGGGATCGTGCACCCTGGTTAGAGATAGATACAGGATACAAATTGTTAAAGGAGAGAGAGGGCCCACGGTTCCTGACCTCTCACCTCCCCTTCCATCTCTTCCCCAAATCTTTTTTCACTTCCAAGGCCAAGGTGAGTGCCTAATGTTTGATCAATGCTTTTTCCCTTCCATGTCCTAGGTAACCCCTGCAGATGTTGCTGGGGTGTGTGCTCACTGGGTAGGCTGGGTGAGACCTGGGATAATAGTTTAGGTTGATGTGGCCACAACCAGACCACACTTGAGTGCAAGAATGTGGGACATTGCATAGATTATTCTAGCCTGAATTCAGGTGTGAAGGGACTGGCTAATGCCAGAATCTTAGAAAAACCACTCTCCTGTGCAAGCAGAATTTACAATCTACACCGGATTATCCCAGCCTTGCAGCTCTTTAAGACGTCAGCCTGTATTAATTCAATAAAAGCCTCCTGCTAGGTAGGTGGAAGCAGAGAGGTCAGTGGTGCCCACATGGGAGCGGAGCACGCACACATTGATGAAGCATGAATCCAGGGGCGGCTCAGGAGTGGTGGCCAGCTATGTCTCCATGGCAGCCCAGGGCACGCCACTGTGTCTTGTGATTAGCAGCCACTGCAGCCTCCCTCTGGCTGACAGATGATCAGCACAGACCAGGGATATCCCAGATCTCTTGGTCAACAGACTCTTTTTTAGAAAAATACCTTTGAAAAGTGTTTGTTGACTTCTGAACTTTTTCATGTTTTTGTTCAAACATTACCAAGAAATCTGGAATACTAATCTCCACTCTTGGAAATGTCATAAAGTATGTACCAGTGAGCCTGCTCCAACAGACCCACTTCCATGTCTCCTGTTGGGTTGCTTTAACCCCTGCCCAATTAAACTGAGGTCTAAGGAGACATAAGACCTCCAATAACAACACCAGGAAAGTTGGTGCAAATACAAAGTCAATTGTGATGTTCAAGTACAAAATAGTGAGTGTGTGTGTTTGTGTGTGTGTTCACTAATCTTGAACACCAGCCTCTTAATATGTACATATGTACACAGTTAGGCAACTATCCCCCAGACCAGACTAGAACATTCCTGCTGTCCAGAAAGTCCCTCAGGTTCCTTGTGCCCATCAGTGCCCACCACCTGAGGGAAACTCCCCCTGCACTTCAGCTACAGATTGCTTTGGTGTATATCTGTATTTTGAATAAGGAATTCGTGCTGCATGGATGTCCTATCTGTGAGCCTCCTCCATGGCTTTGAGTGTGAGAATGACTGTGTGTTGCTATGAAGGTGAATATACCATCATTGTTCAATTTATTCTGCTGTTAGTGATCATTATGGCAAAGCACACAAGTGCCTCACCAACACCATCTAGAACTTTCCTGAAGGCTCCCATGTTGGGTAACCTAATGTCCTAGAATGAAGAGGCAAGGTCTTCCTCTTCTATTCCTATAATGGGAAACTAAAATGTACATTTGATGAATGAATGCTATAAATAATTAATTAAATGAATCCCTTGATGTTCAGCAGATATTAAGTAAGAACTTCCTGGGAAAAGATGAAAATCAAGGTGGGAAAGGACTGATTATTACTGTTTTTTTTTCTTTCTCTCATTTTCCTTCATTTAAGGTGATATATATCATGAGAAATCCCAAAGATGTCCTTGTGTCAGGTTACTATCATTGGTCCATGACAAAACTTACTAAGAAACCAGAGTCACTGGATCAATATTTTCAGTGGTTCCTCCAAGGCCACGGTGAGTCTCTGTGACCTACAGATCTGCGTCCACACTGCTCTCCTAATTGTGTGGCATGACTTTTGTGCTCTTTTCTGTGTATGTCCCATGTATGAGAGAAAGCAGACAACCCTTGACTCTGTGAGCCTGGCTTCCTTCAATGAGCATGCTGGTCTCCAGTTCCATCCATTTTCCTGTGAATGACATAATTCAGTTCTTCCTTATGACTGAGGAAAACTCTGTCCCATGTATGTGCCACATTCTCTTTACCCCTTCCTCAGTCAGGGGACACCTAGGCTGGCTCCGTAACTTAGCTGCTGTGAATTGAACTGGCATCAACATGGTTGTCACGTATTGCTATAGTGGCTGACTTTAATTCTTTTGGATGAAAACCAAGGAGCCCTGTGACCGGGGCATATGGTGGTCCCACTCCTAGTCTTTTCAGAGGTGCTGACTGATTTCCATGGTGGTTGTACTCATCTCCAATCTCTGTGGTGGGTAAGCATTTCTTTTCTTTCATATCCTTGTCGCATGTATCATTATTTGTGTTCTTGACATTTGCCGTTCTGACTGGAGTGAGACGCAATCTCAGGGTAGCTTGGATTTGCTTTTCTCTAGTTATTAAAAATGTTGACTTTTATTTTCATTAAATTGTTGGCCATCATATTTTTCCTTTTGAGAAATGATTGTTCACTTACCCATCTATTGATTCGGTTATTTGGGTTTTGGTGTTAAGATTTTTGAGTTCTTCATACGTTCTGGATATTAATCCTCTGTCAGAAGAGTAGCTGACAAAGATTTTCTCCCCATTTTTCAGCCCTCTCTTGTCTCCTTACCATTGCGGTTAAAAAGCTTTTTAGATGGATGCCATTCCTTTATCAATTCTTGGTTTTCTTTCCTGAACACGAGGAGTCTTATGGACGAAGTTGTGCCTGCACCTGTATGTCGTAGTGTAACCATTGTTTTCTACTAGTACTTAAGGGGTTTAGGGTCAAATTCCTATTTGCTGATTCACTTTGACTGGAATTTGTTGCAGCATTTAGCTTCATTCTTCTACATATTTTCTTAGTACCATTTATTAAACAGTCTGTGTTCTCTCCAATATTAGCTTTTGGTGTCTTTGTTATGAATCAGATGATTGTATCTGGATGATTTGTCTCTCTCTGTGTTTTCTATTCTAATAAATTGATCTTTATGTCTGTTTTATACAGCACAATTTTTTTGTTATTGCGCCACTTTAGTATGATTTGAGACCGTGAAGAATTTAAAATGTGATACCTTCACCACTGTTCATTATGTGTGTGTGTGTGTGTGTGTGTGTGTTTTGAGATTAGACCCAGTGCTTTGCAACACCAGTCAAGTGCTTTACCACTGAGCATCATTCTCGGCCCTTGATCATTATTTTTATTGCTGAGAATGGCTTTGCATTTTTGTTTTTCATGAAAATTGTGGGACTATTTCTTCTATTTCTGTGAAGGATCTCATTGGTATTTGACGGAGATTGCACTGAATTTGTAGATTTCTTTTGGAAATATGGCATTGTTTAAATTCTGGTTATCCATGAACATGGAAGGGGTTTTCACATTCTAGTGTCTTCTTCAATTTCTTTCTTCAGTGTTCTATAATTTTCATTCTAAGAGGTGTATCTGCTCTTTGGGTGGAGTAGTATGCCAAGGGTTGGTTTGTTTGTTGTTGTTGTTATTGTTTTTCTGTTTCTTTGAATTGGTACCAGGTATTGATCTCAAACCAAATAATTACTGAGCAATATTTCTTTTCCATTTTTATATTTTATATATAAATAAGGTAGTCTCGCTGAGGTCCTTAACTTTGCTAAGTTGCACAGGCTGATTTGAACTTGCCATCCTCCTGCCTCAGCCTCCCTAGCACCTGGGATTACAGGTGTGCCCCACCACACCTGGCTACCTAAGTATTTTTGAGACCATTGTAAGTGGAATTGTATTTCTGGTTTCTTCCTCAGCAGATTCATTATTATTATGGCTTTTTCTATGATGATCTTGTATCCTCCTACTCTGCTGAATGTGGTATCAGTTCTACAAGGGTTTTGGGGCAGCTTTAGGGGTCTTCAAACATTGCATCCATCATCTGCAAACACTGATAATTTGGCTTCATTCTTTCCAACGTGTATTATCTTGATCCCCTTCTCTTGCCTGACTTGTCTGATTAGAGTTCCCAAACTTCTGTTTAATGAGTGGTAAGAGTGCACATCCTTGCCTTGTTCCTGGTTTTAGGAGAAATGCTTCCAGTTTTCCCAGGTTAGCATGATGTTGGCTTTGGGTTTGTCACATGTAACCTTTAGGATGCTCAGCCATGTTCTTCTCTCAAGGTAAAATCTACTGATGTGGTGAAATACATTTATGAATTTGCATATGGTGAACCAGGCTTACATCCCTGGGATGAAATCAACATGTCTTAAAGTATAATCCTAAAGTGTCAACACACCATGCCCTGTGTATAATCTTAATAGAATGTGCTAACATTTTAATAAGGTTTTTGTATCTGTGTTCATACGAATATTGGGCTGTTGTTTACTTACATGATATCTTGTCTGCCTTGGGTAAATACGCTACTGCTTTCATAGAATGAATTCAGAAATGTTCCCGTCTCTATTTCATCATCTTATTTGAGGAGTATTTGTCAATTATACATGAGTCAAGCTGTCAGGGTGTTAGAGTGACACTGATGGCACAGCCCTGTTTCAGCAGTGTGTAACCTGCACCCCTGTGCCTGCCCCACAGTGCCCTATGGATCATGGTTTGAGCACATTCGTGGCTGGATGTCCATGAGAGACAGGGAGAACGTCCTGCTGCTGAGTTATGAAGAGCTGCAGAAGGTGAGCACCTGTCAGATCCAGCGCCCACCAGCTCTTGACCATCCTTGCTCCCTCTAATGTCCGTGGTTCTCAGTATCTGCTCCCCAACTTTCTGTAAATCGTAGCCTCTTAAGGGTCACTAAGAGGAGATGAGCCCTTGGTCTCCACTGACGTTTCTTCATTGATCTGCCCCCAAATGCAAGCTCTTCTTTCATGTCTTCAAAGTTTTCCATCTGGCAACATCTAAAGGGCCCTTCCCCACACCCAGGCAGAGGGCAACGGCTTATGCTAGCACCTATGGCTGCCAAGGTTTCTGTGTGCAGGACCTATGATGCTCATAGAGACCTCGTCATCAGAAGGGACTGGGTAGAAAGCATTGATCCCAGAGTTGTGTCCACCTGTCTGGCTTCTCCCCTTGACTGGCCAGGTGAGATGAAGGAGAGCTGTCACTTTGTATAACTCTTGTGAGAGGTCAGGGGCTGGAGTCATCCCAAGGGCTTACTGATGAAGCTCGGCACTGGTGGGGTGGGTGCCGGGTACAGCTGGGTAACAGAAATGACTTCTAATGACCTGTAGCACAGCGTGGCCACTATAAACAGTGATAATCAATAATGCATTTCAAAATAGCAAGTGAAGAGGATTTTGAGTGTTTTCAACTAAATCAATGATTTATGTCTGAGTTTGTAGATGTGATACTTTACAGATTGGATCGTCACACATTGAATAGATACTCATTCTAACTTTATTTTTCTGTTATCATAGAGGAATGGCACTCTGACTTGCACATAGATGTCCACTTCTGGATGTGAGTTTAAGAGCACCAAATGTAATTCAAACCTTTAAATTACATAATAAATTAATGTAATTTAAAATATCTAGAAATTTTTTCAGAGTTGTTAAGCAATGTAAGAAAAAACCCTTTCTGTTTCTCCCTCCTGACACCCATAGCAATCTCCTCTCATCCTGATGTCATTCCTCTCCTCTCCCCCCGTCCCCCAGCCCTCCTAACACCTTCATTCCAATCCTCCCGAATCCCCTGTGTTGCCCTCTCATAGACTCGCTCTTTGTTGTTCACATTGTAGGACCCAAGAAGCACCATAGAGAAGATCTGTCAATTCCTGGGAAAGAAGTTAAATCCAGAAGAACTGGACTCAGTCGTCAAGAATAGCTCCTTCCATGTCATGAAAGAAAACAAGATGTCCAATTTAGAGACGTTGCCTGAAACTCATGTTGATAAGGATTTCAAAATTACAAGAAAAGGTAAAAGCTCTGGTTTCAGAATGTGTGAGAATACTTGGAGGGAATTCTTGTGTTTACCACCGGACCCTTAGAGTTAGGGTGTTTGAAGATATTGACTTGAGTGATTCATAACCAAGAAAACCTCTCATGTGCCTTATGGAAGAATGTTTCCACGGTTCTGGGATGGGCTGCAGTCCCTGGAGACAGCCGATTCCTCCAGGGGAGGAGAGTGCATCTTGGAGATGGTCATGTCTGTGCCACACCACTAGTGACTACCATAGAGGACTGCCCTCAACAAAGAGATACATAGAGAATGAGCCAATAGGTGAAGTAGGGACTGGGTCATTTGTGATGAGACATTGTAATGCCTCCTTCCTGTGAAGAAAGATGAATTATATCTACACCTTCAGTTTCATGTCTATTGAAAATGTCTACTGCATGTACTCACAGAACCAGTTTTTCCAAAATTCCCCCAGTTTACATGTATCTGAAATGGCAATCCATGGAGTATTTAGACTAAATGCTTCACAAGATATTCAAAAGATCAGGATTCTTGCCACTGAGTGAGGCTGGAGCACAGAGCCATGAAACAGAAGAATGGGCTAGGGGTGTACCTCAGGGGGAGAGCCCATGCCTAGCAGAAGAAGTCAAGAAAGCTCGTTCTAATGACGAAGATATCAATGAACATGGGCATAAGAATCAGTGGTTATAGGATAACAATTACATATTAGACATTCCTGTTTATATTCATATGAGTATAATGTTTATATGCATATACAACAGATATTGTTGTATTTTCTGTTAATTAATTTGATAATTATGTGAAAATGAATTCGTATGATACATAAAATGGCACTATAATCAGATAAGGAAAGGGTCTGACTTATGCCCATAACTTTAGCTTCCATTTGACCCCCACCACTTTCCCACAGGGTAACCCTGACAGGGCATTGTTTAAACTCTGTTCTGTAAAACAGGGTATAATGCTAGTATATTACTCATTCTTTTTGTTTTAAATAAATGACAGCAGAATGCATTACAATTCTTTTTACACATTTACAGCACAAGTTTTCATATCTCTGGTTGTATATAAAGTATGTTCACACCAATTTGTGTCTTCATACACATACTTTGGATAATGATATCTATCAAATTCCATGGTCCTTTTAATCATTTCAAAAATTATTTCTTAAACATTTACTGTGTCATTCCTTGAAGTATTAAATCTTATATAGTCTATAAATTTTTTAGATGTCCTAATATTTGAGAAATGCATACCATATGAACATTCAAAAAGGAAATACATAGAACATATCATTTTGGTCATTGCTG